ATTCATTGAAAGCAATGGCATCTCTATATTTCAAGGCTATAAGCTTCTCATAAAGACAACTTAACACTATCATCTTCGTAATGCACGACTATATGCACATTGTATATCCCATAAATCTATGAAGAAATCATTAGGTGTTCCATTTGGTATGCCAGTAGGAACATCGTCAAAAAGTAAGTTGGTAGGAATAGCGAGTTGATAGTCTGGCAAATTAGGACCATCACAAGCAACTTGTCCACATCCGATGCCAGTAAGACTGTTAGCCGGAAAATTCGGAATATTCAAAAGAAATCTTGTTGTGGAGATATGAAGATTTGCAGTCCCAAAGGACTTTGCGATACAAGGTACAGTTGGATTCGGTTGGTCACGTCTGTAAAACAATGCGAGCAATGCAAAGGTGCGATCCTGACGACGGGGAAAGAGCTTGATGGCCAGATACATTTGAATATTGGTGCATGGAGAAAAATATGTTGCCAGCTCATGCAAACTGTTTAGGCTTTCTGTGCTACCAATTTCTATGACCATAGTTGGGTATGGGTTACCCGTTGCATTGACTGCCCGCCTTTGTGGAGGTTGTCGACGTTGTTGCGGTTGAATACAAGCATCTGGACGATACACATCTCTCGTGTTCACAGTGATGTCCGTTTCGCCCATAACATCGAGTTCGCAACGGTTCCAGGTATACATCTCACCAGTTAATACTCCTTGTACCACTGAATGAGGATTTAGAGGTATCTCGTGGGCTATGACTTTCCCATCAATGAGCCGGTGTTTAACAGAAACCTTTGGTTCTCCGTCGCAAAACTCAAGATAAGTTTCGCGTGGTACGTTACTTGCCACAACGATCCCTCGTCGATAAACTTCATCCGTTCCATCTTGTCGCTGAATGGCCATAAGGTGACCCCTTGCTTTATCAAAATCCCATGAGCTCCATAAACGAGACGGATCTGTATTCCTGGTTTGTTTTGACAGATACAAGGAGTCAGAAGATAAGAAAGTGGGGTGATAAAACGACATTGAGACTGTGTTTTTGTTTTTGCCAATTTGTGGTGTCATACAAACCCATTAAAAGATTTATTATCCATTGTTCGAGTTACGTATTCTTTATGATGTCATCTGATAAAAAATTACTTTATGATAACAATGCAATGTTAGTTCTTTTCAGGCTTGAAGTCCATTATTCCTTGATATTCAAGCATTTCGAATTCGTTATTCTGCTATTTTTCGTACTGTAAAAGTGAACACCTTATTTAATTCAATAAATCAAATCGAGAGAAAAAATAAACTTCTATCCCGTTCTTTCATTGGTTAGTGACTTGTGTAAATTGAATAATTCGATGTTGACATACAGTCTGGATTTTAAAACAGTTGATAATTCCTTCAATCAAAAATAATGAGTCAGAGGCGATTATATTTTCCATGTGATTTGCGTAACTTTGCTGTGACAAGCTTGTCACACTTCTTTCAATGAAAACAAAGTATTTTCGTAGGTAATAGAATAAAATCCGAAGTGCGTGTTGCCTCCGCTTTCCACGCTTCTTTTTTTCTGCGAAAGTAAACGCTATTCTTCTTGAGTGGGACATCGGCTCTAGGGTTTTTTATCTTAACGGCTCGTTGACTAGCGTCGCTTTTGTCTTTTTTTTTTTCTCCGCTATTAGTTAATACACCGCGAGCTTTTTTTTTTTGTTCCACGTTTTTAACATTGCTTGCTCCGTTAAAAATCATGACAAGAAACTGCAGAAATATTTACTTCCTAGATTAGCACCTCAAAACTAAAAAAATCACCGGCGAAGTTATTTTGGTAAGGGCATATATCATTTATTTTCCTGTTATTCTCAACCACGCTTAACTTTGCAACCAGCTCATCTAATGACAAATCTGTCCCACATCTTATAATATTCTTTTACTGGTAGGGATATTTGTTTTGGTGGCAGGAACTTTTGTGGAATATCCAATAATACATCGGTTCCATTAAGCAATGTGAGAGTATGATTGAAAAAATTCATTTCAGATATATTTGCCTGAATCCATGGTGAACTTAATAACAGGACATGTGCAAATTCGGGTTTATTAGGAACTAAAATATCGTTAACTTCTACCTGTTTCCATTTATTATCTTTAGACCGGAAAGAGGGGTTTATTTTATGAACCATTCCCAATATTGGTATGCTATCTTCTATAGTCTCACAACGTGAGGATGATATTGCATCTAAATTATTCGGCGATCTTTCAGATGGGAAAGAGATTAATGGTTTTGCTTCTTCTTTATGGGAAGTATCAATCTCTAAGCCTAGTACATCTACTAAACCCCTGCCTATAATATTACAATTGGTGGCGGTATCTAATATAGTTTTAACTGGTACTTTGTTAATTTCACAAGATAAAATTCTCATAGTGACGCTTTATTATAACAATATATTTAATTCTAACTATTACAATGACCGAAGCTGATATAATTATTGATCGCAGAAATTAAATCTGTTCTAGCTAATGATGGAGCTTATTCACATTTTGATAATATCGATCTTTGGCTTGCTTCATAAATGATCCACCAGGTCTATAAAGCCATTTAGTTACTCCATGTTGAATTATTTAGCTGAATTAATTTGTTTTTTCCATAAACGATATGTCTTCTGGATAATTAATGACGCACGATTTTTTTTATATAATGCTAGTTGAACTTTAAAATCCTTATATTTAGGATCATTGCTTATTTGCTTATGGCTGGTTAAATTATTTTTGATACAAAATACAAAATTTTCCCAATAATCTCTACTATTTATTTCATATCCTAATTTTAATAAACGCTTGCGTATATATTTTGGTGGATAATATTTTGCAAACCGTAACCATGCTTCTGACGTTTTAATATTGTTAACAATATAATTTTCACCATATTCACTTAACCTATCTCGTAGACCCGAAGGGTCATACTCTGCTATAACTCATTATATATTTGCTATTTCAGACGTATCTAATATAGTTTTAACTGGTACTTTGTTAATTTCGCAAGATAAAATTCTCATCGTGATGCTTTATTATAATTTTATATTTAATAATGTATTTTTATTCGCACTAATAAATAATATTATGACATCAACAACAACTAAACCTACTATCGATTCAAGCACTAACTGGTCAACTATAACCGGAGTGGAAATTATTGGAAATAGCCACGAATCTCAGAATAATTGTAGGGTGGTATCCAGTATAGTTAAGCAAGTGGCGGGTAAAAAAATCTGGATCTCTCTTCACCGATTACTGGAGATAGTAAAACCCGAGGTTCGTCAAGATATTATAAACTCGATAAAAAACCCGGATATTTCTCGAAGAAATCGTACACCATGTAAGATAATTTTTAGTAATACTACATCTTCATCCTCATCCTCGTCTTCATCTGGGTCTAGTTATGAATGGTCTAATGATGAAGATTTTGCTATAAATATGGTGAAAAGAAGCGTGATTAGTTCTCATCATCAAAAATTTCTCCGTATAAATTGATAATATCCTCGACCTCACTATTTAGGTGCTGGAGTATTTGGTCTGTCATTCATTACACCATAATGTTCAACTGATGAAGCATGACCTATTTTATGTCTACATGCCAATTGCCGTAAATATTGACGGCGGGAATCATTCCTACCTCCATGTCCATGTATTCTGGAAGCATGATCAGCTCCTATTTTTCTTAATATAAATGAGGTAATTCTATGGCAACTTACGAATTGATTAAGAGGTGCAACATTAGTATTTCCATCCTTATCTTTTGACAAGAAGGGAAATTTATCCGGTATTGATCTCTGAATCCAAATAAGTAATTCTCTTGCTCGCATTGGATTTTTTTCCATTGAAAGGAATGGTCGGGGTTCTTCTACTTCACCTTTATTTTTTGCATAACCAATACAGTACCAAGAATAGTCAGGATTATACCATGACTCACGACTTGGTTTGTATCGATTGATACAAAGATTTTTCACATCACATATGTTTGAATACTTGGGAGGAACTGGGTAGAATTCAATGACGGGTGTGAATAGAACTTTGGAACTACAGATTACTAAGTACGCTGACGTTGCTACTGCTTACACTGTCCCAGGCATTCGATAAAGATTGGAAGAGATTTCTAGGAATATTACTGTATTATGTAAATATTGGGAAAGAGAATGTTTTTAAGACTTCATGTGCAGGAAGATAGGTAAAGGGCAGCCTTGGCTCAGATGTTGGGTGATACATATTATAATGCCTTTACATCTTAGAATCAATACTGTCTTATATTGACGTTCATTAACTTTACTGTATGAGTTGATTGAAAGTCATTCTTTTAGCTCATGTTATTTGTTATGTGATTACCTAATTTTCGGGTAATGCTTTTCTGCCGAATCAGGCAGGCGCTGTATCACCCTTCGGATAAAAACTTTGTTTCGAGTCAATATTAATATCAACTACACGATTGTGAGTTAGAGGAACGCAACCGTGCGGAAATGTCAGTAGACAATGTTGTCAAAGTATGTATCAACTGATAAAAGTCAGAGAGAAACATCGCTTGATCTTATTCTAACGGAAACCTCTAAACCACCCGCTGCTTAGGTTGCCAATATATCATCGAAAGTGACGGAGCCTATACTAAGGCAGATGTTTGAATTCTTGGGAGAAATCTCAATATTAAAGCTATATAATAGGTCGGTCATCAAATGCGAGTTTTGAGTTATACATTACTTTAACTTCTCAACGAACTAACACTCTTCCAACAAATAACTAGTCCACATGGAGATGGCGTGCAAGAATGCATAGTCGAGTTTGAAACATCCGAAGCTGCCGTCACGGCTCTGCATCTAACAGGCGTAGAACTCGGCGATCGTACGCTAGTCGTCTCTTCAACAACTGCTCCATCAAATTTGAACGATTACTCCCAGTCTACACACCCGATCCTGCTCACTACTCGCACCCAGGTTCAGCGCACCGCACTGCCTACTACGCCAAAATCTCTTCCTGTCGCTCCCCTTCCCTCAATCTCGGCAACATCATTAGCAGCAATTCGTGCCAATCCAGCAATCTCTCCCACGGTCGCCCAATTCGATCCGGCAAAAGCAGAAGAGATCTCGAGAACAGTGTACATTGGAAATATTAATTCATCGATTTCTGAACCAGAGTTGACAGAGTTTTTTTCAACTTGTGGACCAGTAGCGTATGTTAAGATGGCTGGAGATCCTGCGCAGCCAACTAGGTTTGCGTTTTTGGAATTTGCAACCTTTGAAGGCGCACAGGCTGCTATGCAGATGAATGGAGTCATGTTGGGTGATCGTCCACTAAAGTAAGATATTCGATATCAAATGAAAGAGAATAAGATTATCTGAAGTTTACTTTCATTATGATCCACGACTTGACTATTATGTCTTTATTACTCGTAATTTTTTATCTTGCTTATGGATCGTCTGACTTTTCTTCCACACTTCCTAACTGAGATCCAACTTCTATCTCCCAACAGAGTAAACCATTCAAAGAACGCGATAAATAAAACGCCCAAGAAAACTGATGCTCCAGATGTACAAGCGACTATGCGTCGCGTTCGCGAAGCACAAATGCGTATTGCTAGTCGGCTCAACACTAATGAATCGCTTTCTGATAAAAGTCCACACAGTTCCACAAGCCGCGAAGACATAGTTATGCGAGACGCTGTACAATCTCCAACCCCAGATGAGTCGCGGACTAGAAGGAGTCGATCACGATCTAGGAGTGGATCGAGGTCGGCCAGCATTAGCAGAACGCGGAGGAGAAGATCGAGAACGCCGTCGTCGCTGTCACCATCTAGGGACAGAGGTAAGCGAGAGGGAAAAGGTTTTACTCGTGAAGAGATTATTTTGACTGACAGCGTTAGAGATCAATACTTCATAAATGTTATTATAATTATTATAACCAAAAGTGAAAAAGACGCTAAAGACTGAGCACGATGTTGTTTTAATGAATTTTATAGATGCGCATTATCGACATCGACGATCGCGCTCTCGATCAAGGGATCGAGATAGAGGTTGTAATTTGTTTAGCTGATTAATTTGCTTTATTTTCAAGCTATTAATTTAACTGCTCGCGGTTTGTTTCCATGCAGGCGATCGATACCGAGATCGTGGCAGAGATAGAGAACGCGATCGCGATAGAGATAGAGATAGAGATAGAGATAGAGATAGAGATAGAGATAGAGATAGGGACAGAGACAAAGATAAAAACAAGGACAAAGATAAAGAAAAGGACAAGGACAGAGACAAGGATAAAGAGAAAGGCAAAGATAAAGAAAAAGACAGGGATAAAGATAGAGAAAGAGATAGAGATAGGGACAGAGACAGAGACAGAGACAGAGACAGGGATCGAGATAGAGACAAAGACAGAGACAGAGATCGTGAACGAGAAAGGGACAGAGACAGAGACGTGGAAAAGGACAGAGCCAAAGACAGAGAGAAGGACAAGGACAAAGACAGAGAGAGGAAGAAGGAGAGAGAAAGGGACAGAGACGTTGAGAAAGACAGAGGCAAAGACAGAGAGAGGGAGAGAGATAAAGATAGGGAGAGAGACAAGGAGAGAGACAAGGAGAGGGACAAGGAGAGGGACAAGGAGAGAGACAAAGAGAGGGACAGAGATCGTGAAAGAGAGCGAAAGGAACGAGAAAGAGATAGAGATAGGGATAGGGATAGGGATAGGGATCGGGTCAGAGATCGTGAAAGAGACCGTGACAGAGAGCGTGACAGAGATAGGGATAAAGATAGAGATCGTATAAGAGATCGTGACAGAGACAGAAACCGTGAAAGGGAGAGAGAAAGAGATCGTGATAAGGAGCGAGAAAGGGAAAAGGATAAAGATAAGGATAAAGTGAAGGATAAGGAGAGAGACAGAGAAATAGATAAAGATAGAGACAAAGATAAAGAGAAAGAGAGAGAAAGAGACAGAGACAGAGACCGCGACAGAGACAGAGAAAGGGACAGAGAAAGGGACAGAGACCGCGACAGAGACCGAGACAGAGACAAGGACAAGGATAAGGATAAAGAGAGGGAGAAAGAAAGAGAAAAAGAGCGTGATCGTGAACGTGATAGAGACCGTCGAATAAGAAAGTAAAATTAAAACCAACCCAATCATTCGTTTCACTCCCCGGAATTGTAATTAAAAAGATCGCAGTATTTGATTGTCTGAACGGAAGTTGGCTTCTAGAAGTAAGTTAACGAAATAAAACTTGCTTTGCCAAACTCTTTGTTTGAGCGTTTGCGCATTGGCCGGTCTATATGGGAACGAGTTTGCGGTAGTTGTAAGCATTGAGGTTGTATATTGATCATTATGCGAGCTGACTATATTCTACTAGAACAAGACGTCAGTATAGGCTTCACAATACCACAATGATCATTGCACAGCAACAAATGACCGTTCTGTTGAAATCATAAGCGGGCTATCATCTTGGTATTTTATTTTGGATGATACAAGCAGTTTCCGGCAGCAGTCAGTTTTTATAATAAACTGTGGGCGGATTCAAAGATTAATATTAACAGAAGCGATAACATTATGATTTAATGGGTGAGCGCTTGAATATTCGTTAATATTACCATTATTATTGCCCGGATGATCCCGTTTCACTTTAATTAAAAATAAAATTTTTCATACTTGCTTTTTCGGTGTTATTATAAACTTGAGCTTTCAAACCAGCTTAACATCATGTGAAGTTTGGTTCGGATTTGAGAAAGTAAATAAATGATTACAATAAAAAATAAAAAGTGTGTCTCTTTAAAAAAGAATTCGCAATGTTAGGATTTTTTTGTACCGAACTAGTATTCTATTATGTTCAACTGAGCTATGCTCTGTTTACGGCGAAAAGCTTTTATTTGGATATAAGTTGGCCATTCAATCGCTCTTTCACGATTGTCTTTGAGGATTACCCGTTTACGGGGGGGTTTAAAGACTTTGTTTTGACAACGATGATATTCCACCCATCTTTCTTTGTGCTTATTGGTGTGGCTTTGGGTAAACTTTTTGAGTAGCCAAGGGTAGTAGGGCAACGGTAACATGGGATTAATTTTGGACAATTTTGTAGCAAACATTCGTGTAGAAAGCAGTAATTTTTTGCATGCTGATTTTTTGATGTTATCATAAACAGTACTGAGTGGAATGCTAGTTTGTGTATGGGCATTTCGAGTGCCATTATTCCACAACTGTAATTGTAATATAGTCTGACGTTGTGTTTCTTCTTTTGAAAGAGGCATTGTACATGCAGTTATCTCGAAATTTGTAATAATTGCACTGCTAAATACGTTAATTTTAGCTCGAAACAAGCTTTGTTTTGTATTTTACGCGTTGTAAATTGCATGCGCTAGGCGTGTTTATGTTGCGCGTAAAAAATGATGTCTGTGCGACATAAAAACCTATATTACCGCTCAGCCCTTTCCGTTCCCAGAAATAAATTTTCATATCCCTAAAAAAAACGATATGTCTGAAACTGCAACGAAAGAAAAAAAAAGTTCAACTGGGGTGGTTCGAAAGTATAAAACAAAGGAGCTTATAGATTTTTTGCGTAAGGAGAAGGACTTGGAACTTGACGACGATGACTTGAATATTATCAAAAAGCAAAAAATCGGCGGTAGTGCCTTTCTCAAGATGACTGAAGAGAAGTTTCGCAGCTGAATGCCAGGTGGACCCGCTTCAGACCTTGCTGACTTTGCTAAAGAACTTGGCAAGCGTAAATTAAAGTCGTTCTTGTCTTACAAAACCCAGAAAGACCTGAGATCGTCAGTGGGGCTATAATTTACATTCCACAGTTCATACCACGTAAGTAAAAATCAGATTAAATAATTCTTTATATATGTGTCTTTCGGAAATGATCGACAAAAATTTCGGAAAACACCCTTCCCTAGCACTAGTACTAGCATAATTTCTTAGATGTTGATTTTTTAATTTTCTTCAGATTTGCTTTTCTAGTTTGCTGAAATGTTTGGTTTACTGCCCGACTACCCCTTGGTGTAATTATCTTAAGTCTTCCAGGCCAATGCCATGGACTGTACTTGGAGCTCTTCCTAGAATTACTGCAATCCTTGCTTCACTTAACAAGCGCCAATTATCTCCACGTTGAAAAAGAATAAGTTCTGATCGAGATGCCATTTGCTTGTAAAATAAACAATTGACAGATAATAATAATGTTGTGACCCGTTCTAGGATTTGACCCGTTCTGAGATTGTCACATTAGATAATCTCTTGCACCAATAAACTACATGATTTAGGTGATAACGTCGAAAAAATATGTGACAATCTCAGAACGGGTCAAATCTAGAACGGGTCGTAACAATAATAACAAACACGAAAACTTTATATTCATGTGTTGTGTGTAACATACCCTGCATAATATTGCAGGTATTATAATTTTTCGACATCATTTCTCATCCAAATCGAATGAAAATTTGAATATACATATTTCAAAACATTCTAAACACATTTTGTTGGTAGCATATTTGATCTCAAAAAAAATAAACGTTAATCAATACAATTTACAAAGCTATACGTAAAATAATATTGCGAGCAAGTTTAATTAGTACATGAAATACGGTTGCATTAGTAAAATTTTCGTTTACATGGGTGCTAATTTGATGTATGGTTTGTGTTACCCGGTCATTTTTGTTATTAGAACATGTGACCAAGAATTTCGGGAGACACTTTGCATTCGCCAGAATAAAGCGTTAGTATTAGTAATTACAATCATTATGCATTTTTATATAGCCCCAAAACATTTTTCCGTTACGCTTCGCTCCTCTTTACGTAATCTTTGTCGATGCCAATTTTCGACTGCTACTCCCCCACAGTCTTCGAAGACATCTCGCGTGCGCCAGCACTACGCGGCAATATCAATCGGAGCCGCACTTGGCTCTTCAATCTTGCTCTACAACTATTTTGTCTCTTCCAATAAGCCTACTCTCGATCCTTCCGCTTTTACCGCTTTCACGCTAACTCGAAGAGTACCAGTATCTCACAATACTGATATATTTCGATTTGACTTGCCTAGACCAATGCCTACTGATTTACCCATCATTTCTTTTGTGCGTGTGAAAGACGATTCGATGCAAGTTGCAAGACCATATACACCAATCAGTCCGACAAGCGAGAGGAGATTTATTGACTTGATGGTGAAAAGATACGAGAATGGACAAGTATCGAAATGGTTACATGGATTGAAAGTGGGCGACAAAGTGGAGATTAAAGGACCGGCCAGGACATTTGATTATAAGGAGAATATGAAAAAAAATGTTGGAATGGTAAGTCAAGAGACGAGTGATGATTGGAACGTATATGTGATGAGAGTGAGTGAAAATGAAAAACTGATAGGTCGTTTTATGTTTGTTGTCCGTGATAGTAGATTGCTGGTGGATCGGGAATTACTCCAATGTAATTCATCAAAATCAATAATACACTTTCTGTGGCGAACCCTTCTGGCAAAAATCATTCTTTTCTGATATGCTTTGTTTACTTTTATCTAGGTACCAACTGATAAATCACGTTCTCTCCAACCCTAATGACAAAACAAAAATGTCTCTAATTTATGCCAATGTGACTGAAGATGACATCCTGCTTCGCAAAGAGCTAGACGCACTCGCACATGCTCATCCTGACAGGTTTAAAGTATACTACACACTTGATAAGGCACCAAAGGGATGGACACAAGGTAGTGGGCATGTGAACAAGGAGATGGTCATTGAAAATATGCCGAAAACTGAGGAAGACGTTCTAGTAATCGTATGTGGACCGCCTGGGTAGGTATAACCAAATGCTGAAGTATTGGGCCTTTTGCTTGTGTTCTTAATTGCTAAATTTATATTTAATAGAATGATACGTCATGTGGCTGGCGCCAAGGCAAAAGATTGGAGTCAAGGAGAAATTGGTGGAGTTCTAAAACTAGTGGGCTATACTGCAGAACAAGTCGCCAAGTTGTAAAATGTCGATGTCAAAAGAGTATATAATTTGAACTGGTATCGAAAAGCCTACTTTCTGTAAAGACTTTTGGACAAACCTTATTACATTAAAGCTTCAGATCGGAACGTTTAGTTTGCATGTCCTACTAATACTGTCTAATATGACTCTATGTTATAGATAATGCAATGATGTTGTTGAACTGCTAAAGTTGGAATTCATCACTGACAAACTCTTCATTGATTAAATTAAATCAAGTACTAGTTATACACGTTAGTGGAATTTTCGCGTCTTATTATACGCGTACACACATACCCATCACTTGTTCCATCCCAGCGCATCAAGTAACTGGTATACCAAGGATGATCGCTTTTACTGATCCCCACTGCATTAACAACTAAGACAATCAAATTCATTACTATTGTATTTCTTAGATAAGAAGTAATGTACGAGATTTACTACGCTCTCTGTGATTACCTGAAGACGTTAACTACGATAAAATTGTACCGACAGGCGATGAGTGCTATTCGTTTTATCATGCAGATGTCAATGTCGTTACCCTCTCTTCTGCTCTACAGGTTATCGAATTATTTATGGCTTTCCACTTCAATCCCGCGTTGTTTGCTCTTCCACCTCTGAAAGCCCGATTTCATCAAAAAAACAGATCGTATCGGCCTATCATCATCAATTCATGTGATTCTAGATAGTGTAACTGGTATGATAATCACGAAATTCTTTTTCAGTATAACTTTATCCCAAGATGTCATCGGCCAGATTTAGATTCCTACTTAACCACAAGTATTTATTTGATGCCAAATTAATAAACATTCAAAGAACTAGCTTTTCAACAACCATCCCTGCGCTGGCGAAAGCACAAGGTACATTAATGTAGAGTTCTTTGTCTTACAAAGAATTGGAAAAAACATGAGTTTGATCATAGTGTAAATTTTATCCTAGTAAAGAAAGAGGTCAAGAAAAAAGCTCCTGCCTTCAAACAAGTTAGAAATGAAGAGAAACCAAAAGGGAAAAGAAGTCAAGTGAGTAGAGAACATTTATTTTAATGTTTTTTGACTTGTGTACTCAAAATGCTTTCTATCTTAGAGCTCAAACGAATCAAGCGTTGGAAAGAGTAACCCCAAGTTTTACAAACCAAAACCAATCGTCGAAGTTGAAGAAACAAAACCAGTTACTATTATTTATTATTTGCGTAATGGACCATTCAGAATATAACCATGTCGTTTTTGACAGGCAATACAAGATAATTTCTTGTATTAGAAGAAATTGTCTAATCATGTTAATATGATTCAATCCTTGATGCATGATTATATTCGGAATACCAGCAAGAATGTACTCTTAAACTTGTGCTAATATAATATCACTCTGACCAAACATTAGGGAGGTCTAAACGTGGATGTAAGTGGAAAGGTCTATACATACCCTAATGACATTATGGAAAAGATTAATGTTTTTGGGGTACCTCCAATTATGTCTAAAGAGGTAAATTATCTTACAAAAAACGTAGCATCACGCGTCAGTTGCAATTGGTATTATTTAAAACAGAATATTATGGTCGTTGTAGATGAAGATATTCCCAAAACTTTCATGGATTGCCAGAGATGCTACATTAGACCTAGCCAAGAAATTGGATGGATCTAAAAATAAGCCCAGCGCAGAAACAAGAATTGTATTGGGTAAATTATACGTTTGTTCCTTTTTTTTTTTCCTACACAATCTCAGACCCAAGCCATATTTCTAATGCTTTTTTTTTCTTGTTTGTGAATACAGTTGGTCCTTTAGGAGTAGGCAAAAGTTCAATATTGTTGCAAATTGTTGGGCACGCCCTAGCATCAGATTGGATTGTTATTTACATACCCAGTGGTAAGCATCTAGGATAGACATAGTATTTGCACGGTCTTGTTTTGCATTTATTGAATAGGGTTGAAATATTATTAACTCTTGCTAAATAACAATAGCAATTGATCTAGTCAACGGAAAATATGCATATGTTAAACTTTCATCGGGTGACTATGTTCAACCAACGTTGATTGCTAAAATACTCAAGCAAATTCACAGCGTTAACAGAGACAAGTATGTATGTCTTTATGCTGGGATGTGTCTGGGCTGGTATTTTCAATTTGGTTTGATTATGTATACGCTTGCAGTCTGTTAGCAAAGGCTCAATTAACTTCCAATTGGACAGGTTCGCTGTACAGGATAGCAAAACAATTACAGACCTAATTGACAGAATCAAGGATCCAAATACGGCACAGACCGCGTTGGAACAAGTGCTTGATAAAATTGACAAGTCATCGTAAGTACTTATTATTTTGAAACAACATCAACATTTAACACATGCAATTAACCGTTACTTGCTTAGCATGCCAGTGCTGCTTGCAATTGATGAAATTAATGCCTTGTATGCAACGACAGAATTCACGTCACCTGATCATACATTACTTGAGCCAGGAAATTTGTTCTTACCAAGAACACTTCTTGAATATATTTCTGGACAGAAAAAATTTGTAAACAAAAATTTCCAATTTGAATATCTTTTTTTATTTAATTGTTTCTCAATTGACCATGTAACTTTATCTTTATAAGCGAAATGGCGCTGTCATAGGCGCCACATCGCTTGTTCATAAACCAACTCTTAGTTATGCGTTAGACGCGGCGCTTCATTTGACAGAAGTTTCACCTTGGAAACAGGTTTCACCAGAAATAGCTCGATATATCAACAAGGAAGTGAAAAGTTATCGTATTTCCGAATACTCGAAAAATGAAGCCAAGGCATTATTAGATTTTTATATTAGGAATAATGTTGTGCATGAAGGTAATATTTTTTTTTCAAAGGATGCGTACATAGTTTGTATCGTTCATGTTGTTGAATAATTAATCATTTTTTTATCGTTATCCGACCATATGTAGATGCTCCAACCGACGAAAGCTTTACAAAAAAATATATGTTAAGCAATGGAAATGCAAGAAAGTTCCTTGAATATTGCTCTAAAAGACTATAGAGTCGGAAATTCTAGAGTAAAGGAGATGACCAAAGTGTGTGAATAGTTTGTATGCGCTTTGTCATAGGTGTCTGTTGGCCTCCTCCCATTATTAATATAATACGTGTGCGTTAATAGAATACTGCTGACCAAAAGTTACTCGTCGCCAGTAAGTATTGTTCCTTTCACGTACAAAACGATATGCCTCTGAGAGCGTTTTAAATTTTATGAACCATCGAGATGTCCATACCGTCTTTCCTCTGTATCGTTTGATGAATAAAAATCGTCGAGTCAGAATTATATGCGAAACTGACAAGATCGTATATAACAAGATTATACGAGAGACCATACATACAGTTGTATATTCTCGATGCTATTTGGTCCATTATCAATATCATAAGTCCTGTACTCTATCCACAGCATATCAGCCTCGGTCGGTTTTGGTAACCCAGAGAGCAAGATCGATCTGCCGGATGCGCCTTTCAACAACGGATGGCAAACTCTTTCTGGAAGAAGATCGCTGTTTTCATACTATTTGCATACAAGTTGAGACATTGATGAGTAAATAACGTGAAATAATATCAGTAATAGATTGAATTACGCGTAATAACAGATGAATTGATCAACTGATATTTAAAACGCGGTGAAAGTCGATTGAACAAAGACTGATTCTCACAAAGATATGTCGTCGTATGCTGCGTGAAAAAGGAGGGAAACAAGATTTTTTTTTTCCTTTCTTTTTAAATAACAACTATAAGGTTGCCAAGCATACATTGCAGAACGGATCAACGTGTACTTACAAGATAGTCAAAAGCGATTCTGCTCCCTCCTACAGTAGTCATTGCGTTATCTCTAACAAAGCTTTGCGCTTCATGTTTATTCCTAAACTGGCAGACTACTCGTCCGCTGAATTCGAGTTGTTTTGAGCGAACAAATTCGACTGGGAAACAAAAAAAGAAAAACAAACCAACCAGGAATTGCAAAAAATTTTTAGTACGCGTATATACGCATAGATACGCCAGCCTTAAATGTCTGTTTCAACTTACTTTGCGGCATGGGAATAGAATCTTCGTTATATGCAGCCCGAGAGACCAAGCGATAAATATCGCTTGGCACAATAGTCGACGGTAATTTGGAAATAATCACGTATTTTGTAGCGTCATAATCCGCACCTGATCAGTGAGATATCTTCATCAAAACTTCGTGTCAACAGTCAAAGAATCTACAAGGTGAATAGAATTTATTATATATGAATCGACCATACCGGATGTAACATCAACTCCAAAGTTTAACTTTTCTGGCTTCTCCCATTTACGCAATAGCTCCACGGGCTGCTTCGGCGTTGCTGGGGATTTCGTACCTGCTGTGGTTGTGTCTGACGACGTGTCTTGATCCGTCTCCCGAGGTGACAGAAACACCTCGCTGCGTTCGCTTTCTGGGATGGACCGTCGATTCCTCCTCAATCTCTCTGTAAGGCTGAGCTTGCGTGGCTCGTCAGAAGAATCGTCTGAAACTGTGGAATAATAGCGAAAAGAAGGAGAGAAGAGAGGAACAGCGCGAAGACAGGGAAGGCATGAAGGGATAGACGGGGTCAAAGGACGGAGAAAGGAGGATTGCATCTTTAAAGTAGGTCGAATTTGGTTCGCTGACAAAAGAAATTCAGATATAGCATGTCGCAAAGATGTGGGGTGTCTAAATCGATCAGATTTTGGGGACCAATTTTTTAATATTAAATAACGGATTGATTCGACAACGTGAAATGAATTACACGCATTAGAGACACTCCCGAGAGATTCTTTAACAAAATCATAAAAAGCAAACTTGTCTATTAAAAAACTGACATTTCTTTTGTTGTCGTGCCTAATAAAAGTAGTCGGAATCGGAATCGTAATTGTAACTGTAATTGTACTCGTACTTATACTCGTAGTTGTAGTTGTACTCGTAATTGTACTCGTAATTGTCATCGTAATCGTACAAGTCATCATCTGAAATATCATTCCAAGACTTCGATTGAACTGCTACCGTAGGTTTCTCACCGTATGGTTCTAACGATGATTCATCCGGATGAAAGTAAAAGTTTTCACCACCTCCGCCAAGATGCCAATGCGCAGTTGCTATCTTGGACTTTTTCGACACTTTCAAACGATGTATTTCGTAACGGGTGCCCAGAACGTCACAAACTCCCTCTGGAGGAGCGTCGGTGATTGCGAATTCGGTCAAATTCGGACAGCGTGACAGCCATGTCCATCCACAATTGTTAAAGTTCCATTTTACAAGTTCAAGATGTTTGAAACGTTCGAGATGCGATCGAAGTATTTTGACTAGTCTTTTACCCGGCCCGTTTGCAAACACCAGCCGAAGACTCAACAGACAGGTCTGAACAGAAATCAGTTCTTGCAGAGAAGATAACAATTCTTCAATACGACTGGTAGAGTTGTCGTAAAGATTGATGTCGAGATGGGACTAAAAGAGATAATTCGAAGTGATTGTAAGTGATTATTCACGAAACATCGTGCGTATTGGACGTATATCGCAACAAACACATACTAGTGTGGTGCAGTTTTTTGCTAATGATTTTACAACGTCATTTTTTTGAAAAGGGGTATATATTTTGACAAAAACGAGAGAACTGAGTACGGAAGCGTATTCCGGTGCTGTCCAACTTCCATACAGTCTTCCCTTATTAGCAGCAGTGCTATCCATGATAAAGGATTTTAGACAAGCACCACGATTTGTTAGCATTCGAAGTATGGCATTGATCTTTATGAACCTCTCGTCTGCGTCTAAAGTTGTCAGGAGGTTTGTAAAATTTAGTTTTTTAAGAAACGATGGATAATCGTAAAGCGTTGGAAGAGTACGATTTCCTTGTTCAAGAAACAATTCGTAAGTCTTTGACGCAGCTATACTTCTTTTCTCTGTATAACTGAATGGAGCTTTCCAATATATTGGTACAGCTTCTTGGCACCATAGTCGATTGACTAGAAGTGCCGAAAGTAAATCACGGATACTCAAATGTTTGAAGATAATTTCGAGAACATCAGCATTTAAAATTGGCCTCGCCTCCATTATCATAATCAGTACAATTTTCCGGAAATCGTATATAATAATCCGTATGTCATGTGACTGTGATTGCTGTAGCACTTTGACATTAAGAAAAATATTCACCTAATCCTGGATAGTGAAAGAATGTGTGGTTGAAGAATAATGTGCATTAAATTTTTATTTTTTAAAAAATGGTTAGGTAAAATTTTCAACCTTTTGCAAATTCTGCTTTATTCGAACTATGATAGGGTACCATATTCTTAGACCATATTTTTTCTTTACTTTGTTGTAAGTCTGAAGAGTCAAAGATCTCGGTAAACAGATGAGTCATTTATAATTATGCCACTTAAACTCATACTTCTCCCGCTTACTTCCTCTCCCGCTTCTTCTCCCACATACCTTTTCCTCTTTTTTGAACTCTTACATTGCTTCTACTGCTTTGTTCGCTTCAGAACTTTGCTATTGCAATCATAACATTTTGCTTAAAATGTTTATACTTCCAAAATCGCAAGAATGCGGAATTTTTATATTGAGACGGTACCTCAAGTCGTAACCAATCAGATTCTTTCTCTCTAATGTGAAGCATCCAATCACATACTATTGAAGATACATACTTGAAAATCTACTCTCTCCTGAAATTAAGTAACGGCCAGGAGAGACTAACAAAATCATAAAAGCAAACTTGTTCGATTACTAAAAAAATTATCATTTCTTTGGTCGTGCCTAACAAATTCGAAATGTAATCTAATCAGCTAATCATGTGAATAAATAATCGCAACCGGAACGTAGTAATTATAATGGTAATGGTAATGATAATGGCAATCGGAAGTAACTCTTATCAACGTACAAGTCAGCGTGCAAGTCATCGTACAAGTCATCGTACAAGTCAGCGTACAAGTCGGCAGCGTACAAGTTCATCGTACAAGGCAGCGTACAAGTCATCGTACAAGTCATCGTACAAGGCAGCGTACAAGTCATCGTACAAGTTATCTGAAATATTCTCCTCCTCCTCCTCCTCCTCATAATTGTCATCATCATCATCATCATCATCGTCATCATCATCATCATCATCATCATCATCATCATCATCATCATCATCATCATCATCATCGTCATCATCGTCATCATCATCGTACGGATCATCTGAAATATTCTCCTCCTCCTCCTCCTCATAATTGTCATCATCATCATCGTCATCATCATCGTACGGATCATCTGAAATATTCTTCTTCTCCTTCTCCTCCTCCTCCACCTCCACCTCATAATCATCATTATCATCGTACAAATCATCTGAAATATTCTCCTCATCATCCTCATCATCGTAGTACCAGTCATCACCAAAAATATCCTTCTTAGTTCTGGAAGATTTCGATTGAACTACTACCTCACCGTATGGTTCTAACGATGATTCATCCGGATGAAAGTAAAAGGTTTCATCATCTACGCCAAGATGCCAATGCGCAGTTGCTATCTTGGAATTTTTCGACACTTTCAAACGATGTATTTTGAAATTGGTGCCTAAAACGTCACAAACTCCCTTTGGAGGAGCGTTCGTGATTGCGAATTCGGTCAAATTCGGACAGCGTGACAGCCATGTCCATCCACAATTGTTAAAGTTCCATTTTACAAGTTCAAGATGTTTGAAACGTTCGAGATGCGATCGAAGTATTTTGACTAGTCTTTTACCCGGCCCGTTTGCAAACACCAGCCGAAGACTCAACAGACAGGTCTGAACAGAAATCAGTTCTTGCAGAGAAGATAGCAATTCTTCAATACGACCGGTAGAGTTGTCGAAAAGATTGATGTCGAGATGGGACTAAAAGAGATAATTCGATGTGATTGTAAGTGATTATTCACGAAACATCGTGCGTGTTAGACGTATATCGCAGCAAACACATACTAGTGTGGTGCAGTTTTTTGCTAATGATTTTACAACGCCATTTTTTTGAAAAGGGGTATATATTTTGACAAAAACGAGAGAACTGAGTACGGAAGCGTATTCCGGTGCTGCCCAACTTCCATAAAGTCTTCCAGCAGTGCTATCCATTATAAAGGATTTTAGACAAACACCACGATTTGTTAGCATTCGAAGTATGGCATTGATCTTTATGAACCTCTTGCTTGCGTCTAAAGTTGTCAGGAGGTTTGTAAAATTTAGTTTTTTTAGAAACGATGGATAATCGTAAAGGGTACGATTTCCTTGTTCAAGGAACAATTCGTAAGTCTTTGACGCAGCCATACTTCTTTTCGATGTATAACTGAATGGAGCTTTCCAATATATTGGTACAGCTTCTCGACACCATAGTCGATTGACTAGAAGTGCCGAAAGTAAATCACGGATACTCAAATGTTTGAAGATAATCTCGAGAACATCAGCATTTAAAATTGACGCGTCCATTGCCAGTACAACTTTCAGTCAACCCTGGGAAGTTGTATATAAATAATCCGTAGCTCATGTGATTGTGCGAAACCTTGCTACAATATTCAGGCCGCAGATGCATTTGCTTGAAATGGTTTTATATTGTCAAAGGATTTCGAAACGCACGGAGTAGTTTTCTCACCGGTAAATCTTTGATCTAGCGTTTTTATTGCTGAAGCTAGCAACATTCTAATGCCAAAATCAAATAAACGCAGCAGACAGTCTCGTGATGCTATCAACAATCATTGAAGCAATGCCAACACACACTTGCAACCAATCCACTAGAAAGTACGAAAACATTACATAAGCGCTTACGAACTTGGACTTCTCACCATCGTAATAAAGTTTCAGCAGCCAATCACATTGTGGTCACGCGATTCGTATCTACCAATCATATTCGTGCGGCGCTGAGAATCTATTGCTATTAATTAAAATCAACATTAATAAATAAATCTAAGTGTAACAAAATTTAAATAATAAAGTGAATGAAAGAATACATAACATTACAGAACATACCGAGAGCTATTAAATTACATGTTTAATAATCAAATAAAATTCCTTTACACTTTGCAATGTTCCTTGGAAAATAATAAACAAGCTTGGGCAACAGTTACTCAATTATGTTGGGCAATGAAAATTAGCAGAGAATGAAAGGCGAAAGAAATATTCATTAAAAAAGCAATCTAGTTCTTATTATTATTATTATCATTATTATGGTCCGGTGCAAAAAGATAGATACCTCAGATTATTGCAAATAAATTTTTTAAGAAAAATTTTTTCTAAAATCTG